GTTAGAATAAGTAACGACAGAGAGTAGAGCTGACAGTCCTGACACTATGTTCCTGGTGACAACGTAAGTACAATCGGTGTAAGTACAACCGTAAGTAAAATAATGTTTCCTGTAAGTACAATCGTTAGCAGTAATGGTAGTTGACTGACAGTGTTGCTGGTTCACAGATAGCGGGAGGTTGGAGACTACAGCTGATGCTGCCACAATGCCAAGCTCAAATGGATAGAGAAATAGACATATATATATATATATATATATATATATATATATATTATATATATATATATATATATATATATAAAGAGAGAGAGAGAGAGAGAGAGAGAGAGAGAGAGAGAGAGAGAGAGAGAGAGAGAGAGAGAGAGAGAGAGAGAGAGAGAGAGAGAGAGAGAGAGAGAGAGAGAGAGAGAGAGAGAGAGAGAGAGAGAGAGAGAGAGAGAGAGAGAGAGAGAGAGAGAGAGAGAGAGAGAGAGAGAGATAGATAAATAGATAGATAAATAGATAAATCAATAGATAGATGAATAAATAGGTAGATAAAGACAGAAAGATGAATAGATAGACAGAGAGAGAGAGAGAGAAAGCGAGAAAAATCAGATAGATAGAAAGATGGATAGATGAATATACACACACACAACTAGATTTTCCAATAATACACATGGGTCTGCTTTTATCATACGAAGTTGATTTTAGTAGAGATATTTTCATTTTAGTTATAATCAATCAATCAGCCCTGTTCTCTGTGTCGCTCTGTAATAATGGCCAATTTTCCAATCTAGACACTTATCGTACATCGTCATCCTCAAGGCCGCATTGGCAACAGTGCAGTGTCGTTGGGTACTTTCGGATAAGTTTCCTGTTCACTCAATATTTGTTAAGTATTTACAATTTATTATATGTCCTACGCGTTATGATTTATACAGATATAATAACAAGGTAATCAGTGTTATTTTTTTTTTTACTATTCTTATTTATTTCTGTTCATATAGTCATCGTTTTCTGGTTGTGTTGTCATTTCATCACAGATTGGCAATACTGGTCGTGCATGCTGTCTCACCGCTTTGAGAACAGCTTATTTACGTTGCATGCACACGTTCATGCAAAGATACACCGATGCACAAACATACACACTCACACACAAACATTTCTCTCTCACACATACATACCTCATGCACACATATTTTCGCACGTGCAGAAATAAAAATGCGAATTATGTTAGTGATGAAAATGACGACCATCATCGAAAGTGGAAAATCCATTGAAAGTGTAAGGATAACAATCACAAAAATATTGATAATGAAGATAGTAATAATAACAGCAATGATAATTATAATGATAATGAAAATTATAATAACTACAGCACAATATCAACACTGACAAGGATAAAGATTATAACAATAATAATGATAATGTTTATGATGTTCATGATATTGATGATGATAATGGTGATAATAATAGTAATTATGATATTAACAATATTAATGATAATGATAATAATGAAATAATAATATTCATAATAACAAAAATAATGATAATGATACATAATTGATAGCAATAACAATAATAACAAAATATAACAATGATGATAACAATGATAATAATCAAACAACAACAATGATGTTATGATAATACTATGAATAATAATTATAATGATAACAACAACAACAACAACAACAACAACAACAATGATAATAATAATTATAAAAATAATAAAAATAATGATAATAATAATAATAGAAATAATAAAAATAATGATGATAATTAAATAATGATAACAATTATATTGATTATAATCAAATGACGATACTCAAACCAATGGCAGAATTAATAACTATCATTAATGATAAGCACAATATCAATTAAGATGATATTAATAGTAGTAATAGTAAAGATAATGATGCAATGATAATAGTAACAAAAATATCATTGATGAAAATAGTTATGATAAAAGAGATAATAATAAAAATAATGATAAAAAATTATAACAACAGCGAGAAAAAAAAATAATGATAAATAAACTATAATGATGATGATGATACTCATGATAATGATAATAACAATAATGGTAACAATGATGATAATAATAATTTATAATAATAGTAATAATAATGATGATGATAATAATAATAACAGTGATAATAAAAACAATGATAATAACAACAATGATAATAATAATAAAATAATAATAATAATAATGATAATAATAATGGTAATATTGAAAATGATAATGATAATGATAATAATGATAATAATAATAATGATGATGATAATATTAATCATAACAATGATAAAATTATAATGATAATGATCATAATAATAATAAAATATAAATAGTAATAACAACAATAAAAACGATACTAGTGATAACAATAATAAAAATAGCAATTATAATAATAATAATAAAAACAGCAGCAGCAATGAGGATAATAACAATAATGATAATAATAATGATAATGATGATGCTACACCTACTGCCACTACTACTACTATTACTGCTACTGAT